GCGGCCCCAGCCCTCGCAGCACCTTCACTGGATTCAGCAGCCCCCCAGGAGCCGTGCTGGGGTTACTCACTTCTGCATCTGGCTCAGCTCCACTCTCACGATCAGCTCTGTCTTGGCTGGCATGTTCTTGAACACGTCTGCCTTGAGCCGCCGCAGCATGTGGGGACCCAGCAGGTCATGGAGCTTTTTGATCTGGTCCTCCTTGGAGATGTCTGCAAACTCCTCCAGGAAGCCCTCCAGGTTACTGTGAAAGAGCCAGAACCACAGTGCTGAGTGATAATGGGACACACGAGAGCAAAGACATCTCTTTATGACTTAGGAACAGGGGCAGAGCTCTCATGGCAAACAACAGTGCTCCCATGCCTGCATCCAAGCAGAACAAAAGCCAGATCAAGGAGCTGCACTGCTGGCCAAGGGGAAAGTCACTCTAAATGCACTAATATGAGGTCTGACACGTTCCCCAAAGCACCTTTGGAAGAAAATGCAGGGTTTAACTCCTCACCCACAAACCTCCTGACTGCAAGGCAATAACCACCAACAGGACCCAAAAGCAGTAGTCCGCAGGAATAACTTTGGGGTCACATTAAACGTGTGTGCAGCAGCTTTGCCACCCGCCTGTTGGTGCAGATCAGGGACACTGGAAAAAAGCTGCCCTCTCCCATAATACAGGAGCCTTCAGAAGCCTCTGCTGAGCCACCCCAACAGGAGACCGGGTCCCACCACTCGCCCTGTTTGGGGCAGGGAACTAGAGCAACTCACTTAAACCTCTCAGGAGTCAGGAAATTGAGGAGGTGGAAGAGCTCTTCCAAGTTGTTCTGGAGCGGAGTCCCAGTGAGCAGCAGCTTGTAATCGATCTTGTAGCTATTTAGTACTCTAAAGAACTGGGAAAAGAAAGGAGGTGAAGAGAGCTCTGAGGAGCTCATGCGGGGACTCTGCAGGCTGTGCACATGGAGACTCAGAGGTGCCCTCTGACACATGGAGCCAGACCACAGCTCCTGTGTCCTGCTGTCAGCCACCCCTGAAGAGCACAGGCAGCAATCCCGAATGTCCTGGTCACCCCGCCTGCCTCCTGCACTGGAGATTGTGTGATGGTCCCAGGGCCTGGAGACTGCGTTAACCCCAGGTAAAGGGGAGAGGAAGGAGAGGGACTAATTCCCTTCCATGGCAGCCCATCAAAGCCCTGTCAGGCTGCCAGGCAGACACCCAGGCTGCCACCTCTTCTTCTGCTGAAGGATTTTTAATACCAGGGATGTTAAAGGGAGCAAATCCACCATAATGCAGGTCCAAATGCCTGTTACCTACTTTGGACTGGTTGTTCTTCAGCCTGTGCGCTTCATCCACCACCAGACAGGCCCACTCTATGGAGCCCAGCACCGCCTGGTCAATAGTGATCAGCTCATAGGAGGTGAGCAGGACATGGAACTTGATCTGCGCTTCCTTCTGGAGGAGCAGAGGGAGAGAAAAGCCAGGATAAGCGAGCTGGGAACGGGATAGCCCCCACCTTCACTGCATGGGATCCAAGGAGAAAAGGGTCAAGGCATGAGCTGTGCCAGCAGAAAATCAACACCCATCCAAATGTTAGAACCAAGCAAAGGACTACAGGCACAGAAAAGGGTCTGGCAGAACTTTACAGCTCGTCACAAATCTCCTGCATGTGTAACAGCACCAGCTTCCCCCTTTGGAAAAGGGCTGGGTCGGGACCTAACCAGCCTCCCTCTCCAGGTCCAATCTGCTCCTTCTCCCTTCTTACTGCTGGCTAAAGCTGCTGGGTAGGGCAGAGACTTCACTCCCACCTTCATCCTGAAGACCTTCTTCCCACTGCGGATGGCGTTGTCTTCAAAGGAAAACTCATTCTCCCGGATGACCGACCGGCTTTCCTTGTCCCCCGTGTAGGTCACGACATAGAAGTCGGGTGCCCACAACTCGAACTCACGCTCCCAATTGATGATGGTGGAGAGAGGGGCGCTGACCAGATACGGCCCTTTCGAGTGGCCCTGCTCAGGGACACAAAGCCCAAGCTGTTCTCCCCGTACCGAGCAGCTCCCAGCCACCTCAGGCACCATCTGATGCTCCACTCACCTCCTTGTACAGGGAGTACAAGAACACAATAGTCTGCACAGTCTTCCCCAGCCCCATCTCATCAGCCAGGATTGTGTCTGTCCCTTGGGCCCAGGAAAACCTCAGCCAGTTCAGCCCTTCCAGCTGGTAAGGATGGAGTGTGCCGCCCGTGCTGTCAATGTACCACGGCTGCTTGTCGAACTTCACCGTAGGCTGCAAAGGGCAAGGCACAACACAAAGCAGTGAGATCCAGCTCCCCTCCCTTTCTCAGTGGCCGGGCACATCCCTTTTCAGCCTTGTGACACCCAACAGCCCCAGAAAAGATGCAGATGTGGTCCCAGCACAGCACAGCCCTCAGGCTCCTCACAGGGAAGCTACCCCAGAGCTTTGGATGAAAGAAACCAAGCACTAGAGGAGACCAACGTAACAGGACAGGGCCCACGCTGACCTCCCTCTCACATGCCGTTGTGTTGCCCCTTGCCATTCTTACTCACATCCACGAGAGGTGTTTCTGGAGGCTTTTCCAGCTTCTCCTCTTTCAGCTTTTTCCCTTTCTTGTTCAGCTTCTTCAGAGGGCGCGTGTCCTCCCCCAGCATCAGCTCCCTGCAACAGGAAGAGGCAGGCAGGATTCCTCTCCCAGTTCCCAAACAGAGGGATAGAAATGCCTCAAACTTCGCTGCCTCTCTCCCCACAGGAGCTTTTCTGGCCCAGTCAGCACAGGCACACATGGCACATGCTCTTCCCCCTCGCAACATTATCCAAAATGAAGAACAGAAATTTCATCAGATTACTGGGGTTTTCCCCAAAAAAAGAGAGGCAGCAGCACCATGGAGCTGCTCTGAAGTGCACTGAGACCGTGAGTACAATGGCAGGAGAAGGGGAGCACAGGCTGGAGAACAGCAGCCCTGAGAAGGCCTCCCAGGAGGACTGGCTTCCCAAAAGCACTTGGCCACTGCAGAGGGGTCCCTGTGAGTGGTGCCAGCACGTTCCAAACCATCCCACGCACCTCACAGGCTGCCCCAGCTCTGCCTGGCTCCCCCAGGCTGTGGATCCACCCCAGTACCTGTGGTTCCAGTAGAGGTGTTTGAGGTTCTCGTAGTAGGGGATGTCTATCTCGTCGATCTCCCAAGTGCACTGGTCATAGGGCAGGTCCTTCCACTTGATCAGGTAATGGACATCTCCCTTTTTATCGAAGCTGCAACACAGGGTACGGGAAGTCCATCAGTGAACTGACAGCCCTGGGAAGCAGCTATCCATAGCCTGCTGCCACAAAACTCCTCTGCTTCCACCTACAGACCATGACATCCAAGCACGGGCAGGAAAACATGAAGAAAGCATCCACCTTTCCATCAGAAATGCCTGTTAACCTGCTGCAAGTGTTAACTGCTGAGCTTTAAAGGCTGCTCATCCCTTCCACTGACCAACCCTGTGTTCCTGCTTTACCAGGACTGGATGAATACCAGCGCTCATCCTCTTCCTCCTGCAGCATTTGCTGCTCTGTGAAGTTTGCTTTGTGAATAAACACACAGCTGAGTCTGACTATATGCCCACAGGGAAAAAAACCTTTGAGTGTTGAGCAGACAATGTAAAGCTCACATGAAAATTACCCAGCAGCTTTATTTATTCTCTGCCAAGCAGCCTTCGAGCAGAGTTGCCACTTGAAATTTGAAGTTGCCACTTGAAATGGAGAAATCCAACAAAAAGGTGTCTCTAGCTGCTCAATATAAAAGAAAGCCATCTGCACGGCACATTTCACATGCAGGAAATTCCTTCCACAGAAAAGAAGTGCAAATGTCAAGGCTCCATAAGGGAGCCGGGCACCTGCTCAAGCTCCTTTCTCCAGCCACCATCCTGAGCACCATCAGGGGGGGAAGTGGGAATAATGTTCCTCTCTGGTAAGCGTTGTACCCAAACCCCTCATCCTTGATGTGAGTGCAGCAGAGCTGTGTGGGTTCCAAGGGGAACAAATCACCTACATGGAATCAGGCTGCTGTTCCAAAGCAGTGTCAGTGAGTGGCAGCAGCCGCAGGGGACCACTGACGGGAGG